CTTCAAAACCATGTGCTCACAACCCACCATTAATCATATTTTATTTATCAATTAATTATCATAACACGATTGACCATTAAATATAACCATAAGTAGTAGTGAAGCATAATTTATCCCATTAATGAGCTAATGTTTCTAAGCACAGCTAAGCAACTATAAATAACATCTAGCTGAACCAATCTAATATATAAGGTCCATGCTAGTCAAATTATAACCCATAGGAAAATAAAGTCATCTTTGGCCATAATTAAATGGGAAAGGCTCACCACCCGATGACATTCTAAAATAATGCATAAGTTGAAATAAAACATTAGCTTTAAACGGGTTCAACATGCTCAAAGGGTTGTTTGGGATCTGTGTGACTTTCCTTGCGAACAAGCGTCTTCAATTTGTCTTCAGGAACTTCTCCAACGAACGAACGATCCTCCGAAACAACGGAAAACTAAACCTAGAATGCAAAACGAGGAAAGACACTAATAAAAACCAAATAAACAGTACAATTAAAGTTCATAAATAGGTAGAGCTCGAATTTAGATGAATTATGAGACTTGAACGACCTCATTCCGAGTTCGTATGAATTAGATATGAATTTTACAAGATTTAATTCCAATTAAACTTATTAAAGAAAAGACTATTCCAAATTGATTAAACAATTTACAAATGACTTATAGCCGAGACAAAAGATTAAAACATCCTCCAGAAATAGATTAGATCATATTTGGTAGATGACATATATTAAAAAGGAATAATATGCCATTGAAAAGAAAGAACGGATTTATATCGATTTTGGACGGCTGAGATTAATCTCGACCGAGTCGACCAAGATCGGATGGCTTGGATTGACACACGGCAGCGGCACAATAGCGGTTGCAGTGGCACACATACAGCAGCAGTGCGACGGTGACGTACAGCGGCTAAACAGCGACGCGGCGGCAACAAGGCAGCTAGCGCAGCGGCGACGCTAGGGCAGCAGCTAGCGACACAGCAACAGCTGCGCTAGGGTTAGAGCAACAGTGGCGGTGACATGACCGAGGGATTGAAACCTAACCCGAGAGGACACGGATAGAAGTCTCACCGAACCAAAGCGACCGGAGAGGGAGGGTCGACGATGATGATCCGGCGACAACACACGGAAATGATGACGACGCTAGGGCCAAACAACAGATTAGATTAGATTGGATTAAATCCCTAGGGATAAACTACACCGGTAAATGACATGGGAGAGAGGAGAGCTCACCGGAGAAGACGACGGCGACGACCAAGACGACGACGGCGAGGGGTGACGGCTAGCGGCAGTGGCGACTAGGGCAGCGGCGGCTAGGGCAGCGGCGGCGGCTAGGGTGTTGGAGGAGGCGGCTAAACAGGAGGAGGAGGAGGCTAGGGGCAGCTGAAAAAAAACAAGAAAAAGATGGGGAGGGGTCGGCTTAAATAGGGGAAGATTGAATAGGATTAGGTGGGGCCAAGGGAGGCACGGCAGAGGGGGAGAGGGAGGGACTCGGAGGGGAGAGGGCAGGGGAGGCGTGCGCGGCTGGCAGAGGGGAGAGGCGCACGGCTAGGAGGAGGCCAAGATGGGGAGGGGAAAAAGATACGGGAGGAGGGGTTGCCTAGAAAGGAAAGGTGGGGGAAACAGATGCGGTGCCGTTTTGGGAAAGGAAAAGGAAATGGTACCGGAAAGAGAATAAGACTCGGCTCTTCATACAAAACGAAACCGTGGCGGCAAAGAGGTCGGCGGATACAACGAACCGCAGACAGGGAGAGTGAACCGGGAATGATTCACAACCAAAGGAGGAAAAAGAAAGAATTATTAATTACTTTTCCAATTAAATTAATCACTAAATGATCTTTCATTTATTAAAAATACTTCCAATGCTCAAATAATTCTGGGAAAAATCTAGAAAATACTTGGACATTAAAAATATTTAATACAATTTTATCTATATCAACTTAATGTTCAAAATTTTCATAGATTTTATTCACACACTTGCTTTAATCATTAAATAATTTCTAAAAATTCCTTTTTCACAATGTTTTATAATTTAGCGATTTTCAGGGTGTGAGGATTCCTCGCGGTGGGAGTCCGATCTCTCCAATCCAAGGCTATAAATAGGACCCCCTAGTCGTCCTCTTTCGTTTGCCCCCTTTCCCGAGTTCTCTCGTGCTCCGTAGCGCCACCGCCACGCCGCGCAAGCCGCCGCTGCCGCTGGCCATCTTCCGGCCGCGTCGCGCCGCCAAGTTCGCCGTCGCCGCCGCCTCCCGTTGCCGCCGTTAGGTGCGCACGAAAGTGGGGAATCCCGGCCGCCCTCTCTCCGCCATTGCCGGTCGCCGGAGGACCGTCGCCGCCATCGTTCGAGCCACCGCCGCCGCGCCACCTCGTCGCCGGTCACCGTCCGTCATCGTTTGTCACTTTGGTGAGCACCATTGGGATCGCGACGTTGTCCTCTACGCGTAGGTGTCCTCCAAAACTCCGGCCGACCTTCCTAGCTCCGGTGAGGTCGTCGCTCGAGCCGTGACCGCCATTGATGACGTCACGCTGACGTCATAAACCTTTTCTTTTTAGTTTTTTTTAATAGATGAAATAGATTAAAACTTCGGAAAATCATAACTAATTCACCATAGCTCCGATTCGAGTGGTTCAAGTTGCTAAATTTTTCTAAATTGAGATCTATATGTTAAAAATATCCACATGTACTGTTTATGCTTGTTTTTGTACTGTTTTGTCGATTTTGTTTATTTGCTTTAGTTTCCGACGTTCCGGAGGAAAGCGTTTCCGTTGAGGAAGGTTCCGAAGTGTTTGCAGAAGCTCAAGGCAAGTCACACAGATCCCAAACAAATCTTTGAGCATGTTGAACCCGTTTAAAGCTAATGTTTTATTTCAAGTTATGCATTATTTTCGAATGTCATCGGGTGGTGAACCTTTTCCCAGTTAATTAATGGCCGAAGATGACTTTATTTTCCTATGGGTTATAATTTGATTAGCATGAACCTTATATATTGGATTGGTTCAGCTAAATGCCATATGTATGTTTGCTTAGTCATGCTTAGAAACATTCGCTAATTAAAGGGGATTAAATATAAATTATATTATATTATTATTATTAATTATGGTTATATTTAATGGTATCTCACGATGGTTAATCGTGTTATGTTATGTTAATTAATTAATAATTAAAACCTGGTTAAGGTGGGTTGTGAGCATATGGTTTTGATGGTTGTGCTCATGACAATTAAGGACCGGTTCACGAGCTACTGTTGTGAAACATTTACCGTGCCAACCACAAGCCAGCGTGGGCAACGGCTTTATCTTTTGTATAGCATGATTCATTATAGTGTGCCAGACTGTGAAGCGGCGAGAAGTCCGTGGGGGTCGCTGGGGAGTCCATTGCCTCTGGTTTTGAGGGGGAGATTATGATCCAGGAACGGTGTATTGTGGTGAGTTGTGTTGTGCGAGGGGTAATGTCACAGTTACTTTCCAAGGTACCGTGGTGGTACTAAGGCGCATGGTGACATGTTGTGGGATTGTGTCTCGTGGGTACAGTGGTACACCTCTGATCAGAGTAAAACTATTCGAATAGGCGTGCCCGTGGTTATGGGTGAGTTGAGCAATGTTTTTCGTGATTAGTCCCACATTATTCATTAACGGTAATTGTGCTAATTAATTTGACTCCTGGTTTGGAATGGTATATTCCTGGTATGGAGGTTTGATTTGTACAACTAGGGTTGGTTGTTCAGATGAGGTTGGGCCTATGCAACACGGGTGTGTTGTATGGTGTTTATTTAATACCGATTAATTATTCAACTGTTTTACTATTCTCTTAAATATTTATTAAATGTTGTTTACGCAAATGAGCTTTATTATGACATCCTTTGTTATCCTGTGCACTTGCATATTTGCTGTGTGGCTTGTTGAGTATGTCATATGCTCATTCTTGCAATATTCATTCATCAGAGGAGGAGTACTTCAGTGAAGGTGATGATCTGGAGGACTAGGCTTGATCTGGGTTAAGTTGCCTGTGGAGTGGAGTCGCCATAGTTGTTCCGTAGTTTGCTTTAGTTTCTTTCCGCTGCGTAGAATGTTATTCTTTGAGAGGAACTATCCACCTCTGTAATAATTTATTATTTGCGAATATTACATAGTTATTTATTTGTACTCTATTATCAATTTGTTATTGTGTGCCTCGGCTGTTTCCTGGACGAGGGTTTAACACACATGTAAGCGTTTGGAATTTTGGATAGAAATTCCGGGCGTGACACAACACTCGCGAAATCAATCTAGGGTTTGCCTCCTACTCTATGTTGCGCCGTCGCTCGTAGACTACTCCATCCCGCTCACCGGCGTGCACCGACGATCGGGAGAGCAGGTCTCCGGAACCTCTGCCTTCGACGTCTTGCACCGGGAGAAGGCAGCAATAAGGTTTTTGGAAGCGCTTCGCGCGACTGCTCCCTGTTCGTCCGCGACGGCTCGCCTTCCTCTCCGCTCGCGTGTTTCGCGCCTTCGTCAACGCTCGCAACCGCGAGTAGTTCCTGCCGAGCAACCGGTCTTTCCGTCACCTCGGTACGTGTTCGACATGTTACGCATATTTGATCTGTTCATGTTTTACTGCTTAGTTTACATGTGTAGATCTAATGATGCATTCAATCTAGTTTACATCTACAATGTCATGATTTATCTATGGAATAAATTAAATCATTATATGGTTATAATTTCAACAAGATTTCCCTAGGGTCTAGAGTGGAATGGGCTGGTAAACCCACCTTCCCAGGCCGATCCGAATGAACTTTTGAGGAACTAGGGGATTTCTTCCCCTTGTGGTGGGTTTCCCCTTCGGGACCGGGAAAAAGGTTGGGATCCCGGCCTTTTCCCGGTCAGCCGAACGAAGCCTTGAGGGGTCAAATTAGACTATTTCAATAGTTAAGGGGATTTTGATACCGGTTTTGGAGTTTATAGGTGAATTTCGAACAAACGTATTTGAGGGGGGTCAAATGGACCTTCCCATCAATTATTACTTTATTAGTAGTGTTATGCTTCCACCGGCAAGATTCTTCCCCAAAACCGGCGAACCCTTGTCTCGGGCTCCGCTGTGCAAAAGTCCAAACCACGCCTCGTGATCTCACACCAAATCTTCCACGGCGATGCAAGAGGCCGAGGAGCCCAGCACCAAGCTTCCGTCCCGCTCCCCCCTCGACGGGCCCGCCCCTCCCCCTTACCACCATCACCACTACGGCACTTTCCTCCCGCCGCCGCCGCCGCAGCAGCAGCAGCAGCAGAAGCCCGACGGAGCAGCCTCCAACCACCCGTTCCCGGCCGGTCGATGACCCCTCTTTCTCCCCGCACTACCCTCAGTTCTTGCTCTTCTGATGTTGTGGAAACTGGAAACTGAGATTTGATTGGTTCCCAACGCTGTATTCTCAGGGTACGCAGCTCAGGGCGTTGTTGCCTTCCCGTGCACTGTGCAGCAGCTGGTCCTCGTGGAGGGCGTGCCCATCAGGGAGCCTCCGCTTCCGTTTTGCGGCATCGGCCTAGGCTGGATTTTGTAAGCGCCATTCTCTTCCATTTGTTACTTTGGGTGGTGGTTGACTCCAAAATGTACTAGTTTAGAGGTGACGCGAATCAATCTGACAAGTCTGGGAAGACATAAGTTCACCAGAACAACGGAACATCTAGATGGTTATGTTAATTCACGGTATATTTATATGCTGTTAATACTCCGAAACAAGTTCAGTTCGGATGATAAATGTTCCTTTGGCAGAAAGGAAGTGATGGTTCATGAACGAATTTCTGCATTCGTGGTAGTAATTTCTGAATCAGCAGCAATATCTTGGTTTAGGTTCAGCAAACATATCTAAAGATCCAGTCCTGCTGTTTAGCTAGAAAATTGAGCATTTTCTTATCATTTCTCCATTTTCATTCTTATTGTTGCTAACAGTGCTATTGTATTTTTGTGTGTATGTCTTTTCTAATTCCTACCACTGAATTGTACATATCAAATAAATGTTGCAAGTACATCATGATTTGCATTAAGTTAAAATCTCATGTCAAATGTTATCCTCTTATTCATATATTGTAAGTAAAAGCGCACTTTTATCCTGATGCAAACCTTGCATTATTCTTTTTTTGAAGGTTCTTACTGGGGTTTTTCTTGGCTGCACTTCCCTGGTATGCTGGTGCTTTTATTCTATTCTTTGTTGCTTTGGACCACAGAGAGAAGCCTGGATTGATTGCATGCACTATTGCTGTAAGTTTCCCATTCTAGTTCTAAGAAACTCAAGAGTTGATTTCTATTGTTTATTGCACAGAAGATACAGAAAGCACTTCTTATGTTTGTTTCCTGCTGTGTTCTATTCACAAATGCTTCATGCAGAATTATGCATACTAGTTGCCAACCCGTGCATTGCATAGGCTATTATTGCCGACACAATAAACATTAAAGTTATATTATTTAAATATGCTGGTTCGCTTTGAAATTATAGATGTTTTTATGTTTAAAGATGTCAGCTGTAAATTGCTAATTATTAATTTCGAAAATTTCAATTAAATTAATAAAACACTAAATTGGGAATCCAATATGGGAATGATATCATATTCATAATTACGAATTTCAGAATTATTAAAGTAGAGTCCATGCTATTTCCAATTATGTGATTTATTTTATATGGACTCTCCACTATCTATGATCACGAATGAGATCCACGTAATGCAACTTCATTTTTATTAATTTAGAATTTCGGAGTTACTAATATTGGAAAATCTAAAACTAAAGAGCCCAATTAATTAAAAAACAATCAAGACGAGTACAATTTCATATTTATTATCAATTCCAGATTTTTGTGATTTTCAATTTTGAGAAAAAAATTAAAACTAGAGAGTCCATAGTATTTCTGTAGGATCGAATACAAGAACCAAGCCTACCAGAGGGGGGGAGGTGAATGGTAGGAACACTTAAAACCTAAACTTTTAGCAGACATAAAAGTTACCCTCAAACTTGACAAAGTTACACCGCCGGTCTGACCGTCTCCTTGCCGCCAGTTGGACTGTCTTCCTGCTGCCGGTTATACCGCCGAATAAACTTCGGTCAAATTGTCGGGATCCAGAAAAACATGTATTGATGAAACTCTGGAAAGTAGATCAACTTTATTGCATCAATATGTGTTTACAAAGTGCATCTAAAGCACTCATCTCTCAACTCTCGAACTAGGATTGAAATCTCAAAGCAAACTCTAACTTTTCTCTCCCAATAAGTTAATATCTTTTAGCTTCAACCCCTCTTCTATTTATACCCACAACGTGGCTACCCCTAGCCACGAATTCAACTAGAACTGGGACTCCAATCTCCACACTCCCTAGCCAGGGAAACTACATCTCTATAAAACTCCACACTCCAATCTTTCAAAACTTGGACTCCAATCCAAATTTGACTCCTCTTTCCATACGCACACAACGTCATGTGTATGCCATATGGAAACCTTCACCTCCACATGCATTGTTCTCTAGACTAAGCATCCCACATGATATCCTTGACCGTCTGGACCTCAACTTCTCCACATGCATTGTTCTCTAGACTAAGCATCCCACATGATATCCTTGACCGTCTGGACCTCAACTTCTCCTAAGCCTAGTCCCCATCCATCATTGGCTATACTCCCATGGTCTCAAGCAACATCTGCACATGAACAATGAAGAAACTTTATATCTGAGTACAAGTTCGCACCAACTTAACTCACATCATCACACAATAGTATCACATACGTGTAGAAACCATCTAGAAGTCATAAACATGAAGCAATCTAGAAATTCTACGAAACCGACTCCCTCCTGGAGTCTGTCGGTCCGATCGTCGGACTACCTGGTCTGACCTCATCAACACCACCGGTCTGGCCGGCGACACCCGCCCGGTGTGACCGGCTTCACAATGCCGACCACCGCACTGTTCACCATCCGAAAACAATCACCGTATTTTCAACAAACACTTACATTTAACAATTATTCATCGCATAGATTACATCAATACCTTGATTCTACAATTTCCATTTGCATGTTTTATTTGATACAAACTGTCAATACGATATACTTTTACGATAGTACAATTCACCTATATTGATGACCAGATATTTCTTCTTAATGTCGTAGCTCTCTTTAGAATATACGATTAGTATATGTATAGATATATAGATAGACAGATAAAACTGACAAGACAATGATAGGTAGAAATGAAGAAACGGCTCACACATACCTGATTTGAAACTCATATGTAATCCCGATCTTCTCCTACATATAGGATGAGCTCTTCAACTGTTGCTTTTATGTGGCTTTTGACTACCCTCCTTTTGACAAGAGTGTCATTTGAAGACTACTATTTTTTTTGGGGATGAAAAATATTGTTTCTCACAGAAATACTCACATTAAATTACATGTTTATTTCAGAGACAGGGTTGTATTTTAGTCTTTTCATCTATGCATATGCTGTGAGTTAAAAGAAAAAAACACTCTCAACTATTGTGTTTTTCTATTTTATCCGACCAGCCAACACTTGCCTGGATTTATTGGTTCTAATTGAACTCAGTCAACTGGGGGCATAATGTCACAAATTTTGCTTATTCCATAATTTGTTTGTTTTTCTTTAATTTGTCCAATGCAAGACGCAGAGCCAATGAAATAATGCTCCACACCAACATCTTACCTGATAAGTCAGTTTTCTAGTTTATTCTTTTGGAAAGAACCCTAAAGGATGAAGCAAAAGAATTTGTCTGATGGCATAGTATAAGCCCCTGGTTATCCCTTTTTCAGATGTTAAACATGTAGAAACAACTGAATTGAAAAGAAAAATGTACCGATGGAATCTCCATGTCGAGCATCGCGTGCATCCTACTCCGGAGTCGTAGCCCATTGTCTTGATTCCGATCTGGAGCAGCTCCTGCATGTTATGTGAACAGTCGTGGAGTGCTGCATCCCCGAGCCGCACCAGCGAAATCGTCAAGTGCGTAGTAGCGAATTGAAGGATGTTGATAACCAGATCAACATCTAAGATGACATGGCCGCGGTTGCCGTCATAGGGAGAGTTGTGTTGTGCTTCAGAATAGAGATCGTACAGATATATGAGATTTCATTTCAGAGGTTGAGATTGATACGTACGGTGGGCTGGCATAGAACGGATTTACCGGGATTTTAAAGGTGGCCCACCATATGTGATCTTTAAATCTACCATCATGATTATATGAATAGCCTAGTCAGCAGCCAGATCTTTCTTGTTAACTTGGGAGCTTCTAGGAAGTGCCCAATTAGTATAGGTATAGATAGATGGATGGTTGTAGTACTCTTGTTTATGCAATTAAAATTGCTTTTGCCTCCATTTCAAAAATTTTCTGCTTACACTGATAAACTTTTTGTCAGTTACTGTTATTACCTACCTGTTTTCTAAGATGTCAGTGGTTGCTTCCAAATTCCAATACATAGCTATTGATGGCAAATGACATACTATCCGATAAATGATCAATCAAACGTTGTTTTTTCTACTTTGGTTCTGACTTTTCACAATGTTTGAATCATAATATGACATTCATAATATGTAACATTCTACTAGCTGATAAATGATCAATCAAATGACATTCACGAAATAAACGCTATCCTGAATTCTTGAATCATAATATGTAATATCATCAGAAAAAGAGAGCAATGTGATACATGCCTCAATTGTTTTGAGTTGAGAAGGTGCAGCACTGAGCAAATAAGCAGCTTGAACCACCTTTGTAGTCAAAATTTTCCTATACAGTAGTACATACGCTGGCACATGCACCAAAAGAGAGTGTGGTTTGTTTGTTTGTATACAAGTGGGAGAAGGGTGGCCTAGGACTTGGTCTCCGACAGTACAGTGCTGTGTTGCTGGGAGAAAGAATGCGCTAGTGCACGGGATGGGAAGATGGAACAGGGAACAGCGAAATAGACTGCTCATTGCTTAAAATCCAAATTCACATCTTATACACGATGTAGCAATATATATAACAAGAATATTAACAAAAAAATTTTGTAAACAATCCATATCTATTGTTTAGCCTAAAAAGTTGAAAAAATAATTATGCAAATCATGGTTACTGTACCGCATCCATCACGGCCTCTTCTATTGTTTGCTTTCTCTGATGGATCTTGGAGCCATGTGAGAGGCCTGTGTGAGTAAGTGATGCCCCATTAGGCTTATTGGCATCAAATAAACCTGTTTTCTTGTTTGGTAACTAGCCAATTTCCAGCCACTCATTCTAGATTTTGGATGCTGTTATTTGGATACTGTGAGAGTTGTGCTGGCTGACAGCCGCTATTTGTATCCAGATTTTGAACCCTTACTCTATTCCAAGTACTTTTAGCAAGTATTAAGCAATGATATTATAGGAAGTTTATTTATTTATGTCAGTTTATGGATATCATGTACATTCTTGCACAGTTATGCTTGCATATATGACAGACATTCAGTAGCATGTTCTGCTATTAGCCTCCTTTGGTTCAAGCACTGTTTTATTTCTTGCAAGCATGGTGCATTTTACTTCATTTTTTTTGTGTGGTTATATGTTACAGAGATTTACATTGCAGGGTATTTTTGTGCTAGTTCCTTTCATCCTCAATGGCATAAGAGTGCATCCTTTCTGGTGATACTGGAAGTCATCAATCCAAATCTGGATGTACCTATTATTTCAGAAACCACATTCCTTTTCTAAAGATGTAATATATTTATCACCAATGTGAAGAACTAAACAGATGAGCTATCTCCAGACTGTATCTTCGTGTAGAGACGCCCATGACCTGTGTAATATGTTCATCAGTGTAAAGTGATCGACGACATGGTTGTCGAATAAACAAGGTGCCATCAAATGGCAAACTGTAATAGTGACGGTTAATGTTACACGGTACTTTAATCGAACAAAATCCAAGGAACTCGATCCAAGAACAGTATGTCACTATTTAGGCCCTCTTTGTTTAGACTTATAAGCCAACTTATAAGTCGAAAAGTCTAAGTCTAAATAAACAAGCAGCTTTTCCGTTTGGCTTTTTTGAAGCCATAAATTACTCTAACACTATTAAGCCAAAAACTAGGTTGGAGAAGCTTTTTTGGCTTATGTGAGGTAGATGTATGACTCAACCACTAAACTTAGGATATTAAATCTACCGGCTTATAAATCATATGAGCCAATAATCTGACTTAAAAGTCTAGGCCAATAAGTCTAAGCCTAAATAAATGTATGACTCAACCATTAAACTTAGGACATTAAATCCACCGGCTTATAAATCATATAAGTCAATAATCTGACTTAAAAGTCTAGGCCAATAAGTCTAAGCCTAAATAAAGAGGGCCTTAAACGTGCGCAATGATGGCCAAGAGAACCCTGACCATGCTTCACCAGGCTGAGGCATACTTAACTTGGGTTCCGCTTGGCCGAGGTCCTATACAAAATTACACAACTAGATCCACTCGAACAATTATAGCAAGGTGAACAATTAACTTGGGTTCCGTTTTGCTTGAAGAACATGGAAAATGAGAAACTAAGAGTGAAGGACTATAGAGGAGAGCGTGAGATACTGATGGAATGAAATGCGCTGCTTTTTGTTAGCCAAACATAGTTTATTGAGAGAATATGTTTAAATTATTTAACTCTTTGCTAGAAGAAGTGCTACCATATTTTTGCTTGATTTTAGCCAATTTATTCTCACCACGTGGTTGTAATTTTATTTCTTCTATTTTATTTTTATTTTCATTTTCATCTTCTTCTTTTTTACGTATGTGTTAATTTGGATTGGTATATCACACACACACCCTAAAAGAAACCCAGAAGAAACATTCCCATAGAAACCTGAAAAATGCTACGCAACCATTAGTCTATATAAAAACTCAAATCATAAAACCATTGGCCCATATTTTTCTTCATCTTGTAGCTTAAGCGTGGTATCACTCGGATTATCTATCTTGCAAATCTAACATTGGGGTTCGCAGTCTTGTTTGAATGAACCATCACATATCCAAAACATGTCTGGCTGGGTTGATTTGCCAATGTGATTGTTCAACGTGCCGCAACTATGCATTTAGCCCCCTCCGCACCTGGTTGACCCACTTCTCTCCAAATATTCTCTCTAATTCAATTTAGAGTTACGGTGGCACCGATAGGGGTTGTAGTGGAGACGCAGCTAGGACGGTGCTGAGGGAGGCGGCTAGGGGAACCACCCATTAGGCAGTGTGGGTCGCCCGGGCCAACTACTGCCCACGCTGCCCCATCCCCCAGTACTCTTCCTTGGGCTGCCAACCACTACTTCCCAGGAAATTATTCACGTGGCCCCAACCATAATTAGCCGGCCCACAAGAGATTAAGTGAACAGCCTAGGAAATTATTCACGTGGCCACGCGCGACGTCTCGTATCCACTCGATGGGTGGCATGTTATTAACGGGAGTATTTTGATTTTTGAGTTGGATGGTTCGTCTTCTGTTCGGGCCTATTCACTTTGATGCCAAAAAAAACCTTATCAAATTTTATCATTGTCAAAATTTTAGTAACTACTTGCCAAATTTTTGGTAGGATTTCTTATATAGTTAACAAAATTTGGCAGCAAACTAAATGTAGCCACTTTTTTGTCAACTTTACCAAAATTTGGTAAGGTTGAAAATGGCATCAAAGTGAACAGGCCCTTCATGCCGCTGAATTGTCGCCGCCGCTAGCACCGAAATCCGAAGTTGTCCCATCACAGTCACAGCGTCGCTCCCTCACCCTGAGTGCGCACTGCCATTGCTCGGCGCGTCAGCTGTGCCTGGACGGCTATTCCTGCTGGATGCTGACCTGGGCCCTGTTTGGTTCTATGGGCTAATGTTTAGCCTTCACCTTTTAGTTTCAAATTAGCCCTCAAGAATCTAAACAGGTAGGCTAATTTTGAGCTAATGTGAATTAGCCCCTATCAAAACATTAGCCCCTCCAAAGGGTGCTAATGGGGCTAATTTTGTGTGGGGACCATCAAAAAGCAGCTCTCTCTCTCTCTCCTTCTCTCTCCTCTCTTTCTACTCTCTCTCTCCACCTTTTAGCCTTGCATTAGCCCATGGATCGAAACATATCAACCTAGGCATAGTTTAGCCTACCAATTCATTACTAAACATTAGCTCTCAAAATTAGCCCTGGACTTATCTTCCAAACAGGGCCTTGCTCGCAGCTCGCATATGCATAGATGCGGCCACGCGCCTAACGCCATCGCCTGTCGTGCCACTGCGCCGGTCTGCCCTTGGCCCATCCCCTGCGTCGCCGCGCGGCTATCGCTTGCAGCCTTGCACGTAGCACGCCATCGCCGTACCTCTGCGCAGCTACAGCGACAGTGCAGTAGCAGCCCCCAGCCGGCCAGCCCCTTCATCCTTAGAGCAAGTTTAATAGTATAGCCAACTACTAGCTCCAATTTATCTAGCCAATCTAATAGCTCATCCATACAATAATTACATACTACACTATTGATACTTGGTCCCACCTATCTGAACCAATCACTTGACTCGAGTTCACTGCTGCTTTCAGGAAAACTCACATACCATCAGGAGTGGTGTCCCTCAAGAAGGAGTTCAGGGCGCTCACTCAGGGATCTCATTCTGTCACCGAGTACCTGCATGAATTCAATCGTCTGGCCCGTTATGCTCCAGAGGATGTGCGCACAGATGAAGAGCGTCAGGAAAAGTTCTTGGAAGGACTGAATGATGAGCTTTCACCCGTTGATGACTGGGGATTATTCTGATTTCCAGAAGTTGGTGGATAAGGCCATTCGACAGGAGGATAAGTACAACCGAATGGAGCAGAAGAACACAGGATTGCTCACTTCAAAGCTCAGCAGGGGAATAGTCAGAGGCCGCGTCTCATTATGGGACCTCAGGCAGTGTCACAGGGAGGATCTCCGTCAGTTGTTCGTCCGCCGTGTCAGTTCTTTAACAACAATGCTGGCAACAACAACCGCAACTAAGCTCCACGTCCTGTTGCAACTCCAGTCCAGCACCAGCCTGTCAAGAGGGAGCAAGGAAACAAGTCAGGGGTGTGCTTCAACTGTGGTGAACCAGGTCATTACTCTGACAAGTGTCTGAAGCCCCGACGTGTGAAGACTGTTCCTGTGCAGAATAACTCCAATGCACCCACATCAAAGGCCCGTGTCAATCATGTTGCTGCTGCAGAAGCCCAAGGTGCTCCAAATGTGATTTTGGGTATGTTTCCTGTTAACTCAGTTCCTGCAACAGTGCTTTTTGATTCTGGTGCCACACATTCATTTTTGTCTATGAGTTTTGCGGGAAATCATGGGATGGAGATAGAAGATCTTAGACATCATTTGATGGTTAGTACCCCCAGTAACCAAGCACTCTCATCACAACGTAGCCCCTCTATCAGAATAGAGATTCAAGGTGTACCATTTCTGGCCAACCTTATTCTGTTAGAATCCAAAGACCTTGATGTCATCCTAGGGATGGACTGGTTAGCCAGATATAAAGGTGTGACAGATTGTGCCAATAGAAAAGTAACCCTCACCAGCAATGATGGTCAAGTTGTAACTGTTCATGCATTGCCTTCTGAGCCGTTAAGGTCAAGTCTGAACCAAATAACTTTGGAAGAGATTCCCATAGTACGGGACTACCCGGATGTGTTACCGATGATTTACCTGGTATGCCGCCTAAGAGAGATATAGAATTCAGAATAGATCTGGTACCAGGAACAACTCTGATCCATAAGAGACCTTATAGAATGTCAGCTAATGAATTAGCAGAGGTCAAGAGGCAAGTAGATGATTTGCATCAGAAAGGATACATTAGACCAAGTTCGTCTCCATGGGGAGCTCCAGTCATTTTTGTGGAAAAGAAAGATCATACCTCTTTGCTCTTTTATGATTAGATTCCGACGTTCCCGGAGAGTCCGATTTTGCAGGAGAAGACTTTGAAGAGTTCCAAGGCTAGCAAGGCAAGTCACACAGATCCCAAACAATTCTTTGAGCATGTTGATCCCGTTTAAAGCTATTGTTTCTATTCAACTATTGCATTTATTTTTGAATGTCACCGGGTGGGAATGACCTATTGCCTTTGTTATAGCCCTTTGTTATTGATTACCTATGCTTTGTCTCCTGGTTAATAATTTGATTAGCTAGAACATCATATGGTTTTAGCTAAAGCAATTAGGATGCTTAGCCATGCGCAGAGACACTAGCTCATATGAATGGGATAATTAATGATTCACTATTACTTAATGATGGATTAATGGTAGCTCATGATGGTTAATCATGATAGGATGATTAATTAAGATGCCAACTAAAACATGACAATTAAGGACCGGTTCACGATTTTCGGTTGTGAAACATTAACCGTGCCAACCACAAGCCAGCGTGGGCAACGGCTTTACCTTTTGTATAGTGTGGTTCATTGTAGAGCACCAGACTGTGAAGTGGCGGAGATAAGCCCACGGGGGTCGCTGGGGAGTCCATGCCTTGTTTTATAAGGGGGTGATTATGATCCAGGAACGGTGCTCTACTTTGAATTGTGTTATGCGAAGGGTATTGTCACAATCTCTATTCGGATACTTGATAAGTATCGCGACGCATGGTTGACATGATGTTGAGGTTGTGTCTTGTAGGTACAGTGGTACACCTCTAGCAAGAGTAAAACTATTCGAATAGCCGTGCCCGCGATTATGGGCGGGTCTAACAATGTCTTTCGTGATTAGTCTCAGACCTCTCAGCATAATAAATGATGCTGTAATTGTTAATAAATGGTTTAGCTCCTGGTTTGGAATGTTATATTCCTGGTTTGGAGATAGAACTGTACAGCCGGGAATGGTTGTTCAGAATGGTTGGGCCTATGCAACGGGTATGTTGTATAGCGATGGATTAATATTGTTTAATTAAATACTTTACTGTTTACTAAATTCTAAAGTATTTATTAAATGTCATTTATGCAAATGAGACTATATT